TCAGACGTGTGCTCTTCCGATCTAAGTTAACAGTCTAAAAATTTAACTTACAAGTTAAGATACAAGTTAGTCCATAATAAAATTAATTAAGTTAAAAGTTAAGTTAATAAAAAAAAGTAATTAAAAAGTTAAAGTTAAATTTAATCATTTTATAATTTTAAGGTTTTTAAAGTTTCTAAAAAAATATGTATATTTGTTATACTTATTTCTGTCGAGCCGCGGAAAGAGGACCGATTTCGAAGGACTTCTTCCAACGTGATTTATGTAATGCACAGGAGATCCGCGAACAGTGATTTCTTCCCGCGGTCAGACTATATTTATTATATTATTACAATTGCCTTAATGTGTGTTCTCAAATTTGAGTTTGAAGACACTAACTTAGACATGTATTTTATTTTGGGTTTACAAGAAGCACTAAAAATGTAAAAAAGTTAGATCAAGAGTTAATTATAGTTACCGATAAAATGTAATTAAATTAAGTTAAAAGTTAAGAGCCTAAAATGTAATTAAATTAAGTTAAAATTATTTCACTTTTTAACTTAACAGTTAACTTTTATCTTTGTAACTAGCCACTACCCAACCCTGAATACCGTCATATTTAAAAAATACAGTCATTTCAGAAATCATTATAATAATTAATAATTTAATCAAAAAACGGAAATGCAATCTCCTACCTTGTTGATGACCTGTTTCTTGCACAGTAATACCATTTCCAGTTTCATAACTATATTGATAGTTCCCGTCACCTGCGTTGTCGTTGCTATAAGAAATAATGGGTATCTCTTGACCTACACTATGGCCACCACCACCGCCCAGTCCACCGCCTAAAGTACAAAAGTACGAAAATGATAAGGATTATATATTTAAGCTGCACTTAAGAAAAAATTAATTAGATTTCAAGGAAAATTGTGATGCGATATTTCTACAAAAAAATCTAGTTAACTGGAAGAACTGATTTTAGTCGCGTAATAATCGTAATGGAAATTAATCATTTGAAATTAATCAAATAGATTAATACAGATTAATACAGATATAGATTCCTTTTTTTTTTTTCAAGTCTTGAAGTCAAGTTTTGAAAAGATACATGGAAACACAATAAGACAAAGTAACTTATACTTTCTTCTCTCGTTCACTAATTATACTCTTGTTTAAACTTACCACCTGCGAAAGCACCGCCACTACTCCCGGGACCAAAGCCGCCTGACCCACCATGACCACTAGGACCACCAAAACCACCAAAACCACTTGGACCACCAGCACCACCTGATCCACCAAAACCAACTGGGCCACTATATTTAATGGGCCCACCTCCACCGTGTCCTGCAGATGGAGGACGAATCAATCCTGATCCAGCCGCACTTCCGGAACTACTAGGCGGAAGGTAAGTGGGGTCCAGTCTTGCGGCATAGCACGCACCAATGATAACCAGCAGTACTATGACGTGCTGTTGAAACAAGCCGAAATAAAGGGACAAAAATTGTACATCAAAAATAAAAATATAAAAACAAAATAGTACACATGAAAGCAATCAAACAAATACAGATGCAACATATTCCATTTTTTTTTTAACACACGCGTCATTCTGTACGTGAAACAGAAGTCACGCAGTATCGGCTTTCGGAGAATCATTCAAGTATAAAATATTCATGCGCGACAGATCGCCCATTTTCGGTTAACTGTCGCGATCAAATAGGAGAATCATTCCAAATTTCAACGAACTACAGAGAGATCTACATCCTATACGCGACTCGTACCGATCTCATCTCGCTGGTTGCGCGTGTGCTCGTCGATCAAATCCCAGCGATAATTTCTGCGTCGCACTGTTCAAATCGTGTATCGTCAAACCGACAATGATAATTGATCTGCACATATCCAGGTCGGATACAGCATACTTATATACCGATCCCGCGCGAGGATCGTCTTCCTCCCACCCGCCAATAAGCAACCGCGGATGGTACCACGGTTGGAGATAACCCGGTGATGCGTTCCTCGAAGATTCGCCGCAACGACTCCTCGTTGACGAGAGGTGCCGAAAGGGGAGGAAGAGAGAAGAAGAGATCTTAGAGCTGCCGGATGAAGACACTCACGGTGGGATAGGACTATCGGAGGGGGTGGCAGTGCAGGCGGAGGAGGCATCTGTCGAGATGAACCTCGTCGAGCTAGGATGAGGGGTAGTTGCGCAACGCAGTTGATACAGATCGGCAGGCATCTCCGAATGGATCTGAAGGTCGGCCAATGGGATTGGCATGAAAGCGAGGCAATGAGCTGCAAAAGCAAAGCAAGCGAAATAGTACAGTGTACAATTATTGGCCACTTAAAACACGCGTATTATTGATTAAGCAATGCTATTGAAAGAAATTCAATATTTGTATATACGAAACAGATATTGCCAAGCCTGATCATCAAAATCTTCCCAAGTTTTTCAAGTTAAACAAAAGATTTTATCTCGATTTGTCCTCGGTGCACATCCTGAGGACGAGGAGGGAAGCGGCGAGAAAGCGTGGAAAAGCAGCCGAGCCGATGACGCGGCCGGCATACTCTCGCCGTGCGTTTTCTCCCTTGTAATTATATCGGCTCTTTCAGCGCGGGAATTATACCCGCGGGGTCGCCGCGTCGCGTCATCATCGTCACCGACGCCGCCGCGCCGCGGCTTGCGGGGAGCAAAACGCGTGCTCCGCAATCGAGCGGGATCGTTGCGCAATCATGCGTCGAGAGCATCCTCGGAGCGCATGTCGGCCGATACGTGCGTGCGTGCACACACGGCGATTGTGCATGCACGCGCGTTCACGTGTGCGCTAGGTCGGGAACTGGATGCCTGGATGACAGTCCGCGGGGATGATGCGATCTCCTGTGCGGCTCTAAACGTGCCCACGTGTGACGTATAAGTTTATCTTTCTCGCTGGTTACGGCAACGATTATTAATGAGAGCTATTATCTCGTCAAGAACTCGCGCGCGCGCTTTTTATTTAGACCATCGCTGGATATATTCGGATAATTATATTATATGTACGCGCGCGCGCGATAATCAGATCCGGTTAGGAATCCGAAGTTTCGACGGTTATGTAAGACGCGGAGTTATAAAAGGCTATAATAAATCCACAACTCGGTTCGAAGCCCGCATCCGCGATCGCGAGAATATTATTACGCATATCCACATAATTGCGTGTATTCCAACGCGGTGCGGCCGTAAACAGTTCCATAAAATGGAACTACGCGCGGTAAACCGAAGCGCCGTACATTTGAAATCGTCAAGGTATTACACCGATCGGCACGTAACTCGCCGGTTAACGATCCACCTTTGGGTCACCGTACTCACGCTTCGCTTTCGTTATGGAACGACGAAGCGATGATCGTAATCCCAATAGGTATCACGCTCGCCTCGTAATGGCGAGAAAGATAGCGTACGTGCCTCGTCTAGATTCCCAGGGAGATAGAGCAGTCGAACTTCGGAGATCCATATACATTATACATATATATATATATTGAGAAATCGTAGCCTGAAGTTATACGCTTCGACGTTACGTGAGAGTCTCTTGAGCGGCGCACAAAGAGGAAATTAGGAGGAAACGCGATAATTCGTGCGTTCCAATTCCCGAGTTTAAATAGATATATTCCGCAAGTCGGACGCCAGTAGGGGTATGGTCGAGACAAAGAATCGCGAGCGATCGTGATGAGCTGTACAATACTTGATAATAGGATACGACGACACCGGATCAAAACAATGCATTCGCTACTCTACTCTTCAAGAGGAGGACCAGCTCATATATGCAGTTACCGCGATCTTTGAGTGTATCCTATCCCTTTGTCACGTAATCCGTGCATTTATCTATCTTGCTGCTTGTGTTATGCCAGAGATGAGATTCATCTCTTCGCGAGAAATCTCTCTCTCTCTCTCTCGGAACTGTTCCAACATGAATCTCGAAGTGTATCGAATTCCATGCACGCATCTGTTCGCGCCGAGCGGTGCGGCGTTGGGAGATAATTGGAAGGATCGAACGGGCGGACGCGGTTCTCTTCGCGATTAATCCGAAAGATTTCAGCGTCCTCCAGATCTTATCGACCACATCAGAAGAGGCTTCGTCCTTTGAGGGTCACGTATATTACAGCCTTCGATTACCGCACGGTGCTCCTTGCAGGATGCAGACTTTTTTTTCTCTGGGAAGAAAAAACGCGTTACGGCATACTCGTTCGAAAATCATATTCGACATTTTCGCCTTTCGAACAGCGCGGCGGACAGCTTTGTACCAGCTGGTTCGCGTCCAATTATTGTGTGTGCGAGCCCAGCCGTTAATCGCCCCGCGATCGACGGCGCGCAGCTCGACCGGGTTTCGACAGCGCATATCGCGGAAGTATAATCCCCGAGGTATCGAAGAGCGATATATACGTAAGAGATTGTGCAGAACCGGGAGCGTGTGTGGTGCTCTACCTCCGCGCGCTCTCTTCCTCACGACCTCGCGCACGCGATCGTACCATTTCGAAAGAATGGGAGCCCGCGTCGCGCTGAGGTCGACGAAGAAGAAAAAAAAAGACTGCGGTCTCTTCGCGGCGATTTTCTATTACGCGCCGGTTGCCGTGTTGACGCAACTCCGCGACGCGTTAAAAAAAAAAGAAGAAGAAACGAAGAGAGTGTGAAGCACTTCTCGCGCGTAGGGTGTTAAAAAAACATACCGCCATTCGTGTTTCACTTGCGTTCCAGACGCAGCGCGCGGTACCGAGTTTAGGCCAAATTAGGTCAAATTAGAGACGCGACATATCATTCCGCTCGTTAATTATGTTTACCGTATAAAAAGATATATGAATTCGAAAAAAAGCTGAATTTGTTTTATCATCATTTAACATTATCAGGGTTGGTTAGTACCTATATGGCTATGTTAAAAAGATAAAAGTTAAATTAAAAATTAAAAAGTTAGATAATTTTAGCTTAACTTAGTTTTAGACTTTTAACTTGATTTAGTTACATTTTATCGGTAACTATTAACTTTAAATTTACCTTTCTTGAAATTGCACTTTTAGTACTTCTTATACTGTAAACCCAAGATAAAATATATATCTACGTTGGTGTCTTCAAATTTGAGAATGCACATCAAGGCAAGTTATAATATATATAATAAATATATAATCTGGCCGTGGGAAGGAATCACTGCTCATGAACGTTCTATGCATTGAATCATGTTGAAACAAGTCCCTCGAAATCGGTTTTCTTTCCGCGGCTCGACAGAAATACGTATAACAAAAATATATACACTTTATTTCGAACTTTATTTAGAAGCCCTAAAATTGTAAAATGGAAAAATTTAACTTTTAACTTTTCAATTACTTTTTTTTTATTAATTTAACTTTTAATTCAATTAATTTTATTATGTGGATTAACTTTTACCTTAACTAAATTAAATGTTTAATACTGATGTTAACTTTTAACTTAACTTAATTTTAAAAAATATTACTCAACCCTGAATATAATTGTTCCACTAATTTCGCTATTAAAATGTGCTGAATATCTACGTATAAGTGTTTTAGAAATTAAGACTTGAACTTTAGCAATTTAATTCACACGCATTACAAATATCATAATATCACCGATTGCCAACTTGAAAAGCGTGAATTTTTCATTCGAGTTTCTGACATCGCTGACATGAATGCCCGTTAATAACCTCAGGGTAAATGTGTATACGAACGTTTGACAAGAGCCGATTTCTTCACACGTATATACATGAAACGCTAAACTTAATTACATACCTACCAATTTGCGCTCGCCTCGATACCGCGTTGCGAATTAATGGAAAACGCATAAGACGCACACCGTTACGTCACGATCGCGGACTCGCCGGCGACACCGGGGTCTCATCTCGATGTGCGCATTTTTGCGAGGCGCATAATTGGGATGCCCCGCGTTAATTTTTCATTAACTTTCGTCGCCACGACGCCTTCCGCCGTCGTTAAATGAAAAATATTCTGTGTCCCCCGCGGCCGATAGCTTCATCATTTTCACAACCCTTTCTCGCTGCAAAACAGACTAGCATTATTTTATTGCTGGCTTAACGTCTTCCCACGATCATCCTTCTCGATATGTATCTTCCACGGCACATGATGGATGTTTCTCGAACGGTGATCGATGCGCAGGATATCACGGATCTATTAGTAATAAACGGCCATTCGAATTCTCCTTTTGAAAGCTATCAAACAATTCAATTGTATTACAAATTATTAAATTCGATTATTTCGAATGTTATTGGGAAATTCTTGAAATCTTGGAAATTTGAAATTATCTACAGTGGAAGAGTGGACTATTTTTGCCATGATCTTATCCGTCGCGGATATTCTTACCCTATGTATAGTAACACAATTCATTGGCGGTACATTGGTGTACAGTCATGGACACATCGGTTGCAACACTTTCTTTTTTATAGGTTTCAAAACGCATTAATATTTTGTAAATGCGGACCACGATTGGTGTTATACTGTCTCTAGACTAAAGATAGTACATCGTGGTTCGCGTTTGCAAAATATAAGTTATTCTATAAAATATATATTATGTATATATTAAATATATATTAGAAACCTATAAAAAAAATGTGTTGCAACCGATGTGTCCACAACTGTACATAATTGGCCTGTATTGGAGGTATATTGGGCCAATGTTGCTCAATTAATATATAGCCAATATTAGTTATAAATTAAGGTGGTTTTATCGCTCAACGCCAACTCGATAGTGTAACGTTGTCACATAAACGTCACACATATCGCATATGTACAGTCTATGCGAAGTGTTTTTATTGAATTACGTTTGTTCTTATTGAATTATTAGTCACATAAAGGGACTAACTTTTGACTGAGACTTGCTCGATAAAACCACCTTAAATGCAAATATATCGTCAATATAAAACACAAAGCGTCTACTTTAAAAGCGCGTCATCAATGTTGGGGATCAATTGATCGTAATTAATATTGCGCTGACAATTTTTGCTACTCGAATTATCATTTACAGATTTTTAGGCCGTACCTATTATTCTATTCCAATATTTACCGATTAATTTTTTTTATTTATTATATATATTCAACGGAATTGTAGAAAAAGCGTTCGCTATGGTTTCTGCAACGCGCTTATATACTTACGCAATCGCGTGTCGTTTGCCGCATTGGAATTCGAAAATGTGTCATGGAATTTCGATCAGCACGCAAGATAGTCATGTCGCTTATCGATTGAAGCAAAGAAAGAGAGAGAGTGAGAGAGAGAGGTGGAGGGGGGGGAGGGAAGAAAGCATTATTTATTGTTCGCTCCACAGATATGATCTCTTGAGAGAAAGAGAGGTCCCTGCTTGAATATTTGCTTGTGGTTACACAAACCGATCGGGTTTGCTCCTCTTTTCGTTGGCGAGGCGAGTGAATGGGCGCATCATTGCGGGCTCTTGGTCTCGGTAGCCGCGGAGCCTTCCCGCGAGCGCGGGGTTAGCCGAGCAAAAAGAAAATATAGTTCAGGCCGCCGGGTAAAGCCGATTGCATAATATAAGCCGAGGCACGTCGCAACATCGCTCACCGCTTTTACGAGGCGGTGCAGCTCCTCTTCGCTGTCATCGTTGACCTTTGGAAAGGCATCAGCTAGGCGCACATATAAGCGCGTGTATACCCCGAGGGGTGCAGCCGTCGCAATGGCGGGCCCCCATAACGTATAATGGTCGAACATAAAACGCGCTCATCTCCACAGTCAGATCTAGATCGTGCGGAGAGCGCGAACGCAGAGAATCTCTAGATCTATGAACGCGAATTTGCTTCACAAACGTGCGGACGGCTGTCACGAGTTCAAACGAATAATGTATAGAGACGATTATCTTTAAAAAAAAAATGGCGAAGTTAAAAATATATTTTGCCTGACAAAAGCAATTAATTAAGCATTGATTAAAAATTGTTTTTCTAATTGTACCGTATATGTGACGCACGTACGAGCTTGTCGGAATTTCCCTAATAAAACGTACGATGGAATATAAGGAACGGTCGGTCGATCAATCGATTGAACGCGCCTTTTAGCCGTATTAGACGCCGTAGAGCAATTATATATATATTGTATTGACATACGACGTGCTGTAATCGCAGCGAGAACTAATTAACTATTCGTGCCGCACTTTCGATATCTCCATCAATACCAGAACTTTCGCCACAATCATTAGCAAATAGCTCGCGATGAAGACTTCATTCATCGCAAACCGGTTCTGCGATCGCTGGTTGATCCGGAAAATTGGCATTAAGTAGAAACGCAATACAACCGAGAGGACATGCAGTGATATAATCGTATTAGTTGTGAGCTAATCTAATTGTCTTATAAATGCTGCACTTTCTCGCAGTCACCAGAAAGGATTCGAATTAAAGCGTTTGCCGGTATAAAAAATATTTATTAACAATTTGAAAAGATGTGTGATTTAAACGATTAAGCCGCGATGCTCTAATGTCTCATTTTCAATTTTCAAAGCATAAAAAGCAGCGATCGATCTTTGACTATATAGTCAAAGGCGTTGATACGTTTACACGAATCGATATATGAAATGAACAAAAATATTCGAGCGGTATTTCTATGTAGACGATATCAGAGTTGGGTATATAAGTTAATATTTTTTTAAAATTAAATTAAATTAAAGTTAATGACTTATAAAATTAATATAGTTAAGTTAAAAGTTGCATGAACAAACAATAATTACTAACTCAGTTAAAAGTTAACATTAAATTAACTAAAGTTAAATTAAAAATTAATGTTGGAAAACATTTGTATTAAATTAGAATGTCACTTTTAAAAAATAAGATTACTGTAAATGAAAAACAACTACAATATAAATAACCAAATTTAATAGTTTAATTGTAAATTAGGTTAATATGAAATAACAACGAAATATAATTGTCTTTATATGAAAATGTTTTTGCTTTTAAATTTTTAACTTAGAAAAAAATTAAATAAGCTATATGTATACAGTTTATACAGGGTTGGGTAAGTTAATATTTTTTTTAACTAAGTTAACAGTTTAAAATTTTAACTTAGTTAAGATACAAGTTAGTCCGTAATAAAATTAATTGAGTTAAGTTAATAAAAAAAAGTAATTAAAAAGTTAAAGTTAAATTTTTTTCATTTTATAATTTTAGGATTTCTAAATAAAGTTTCTAAATAAAGTATATTATATTTATTTCTGTCGAGCCACGGAAAGAAGACCGATTTCAAAGGACTAATTCTTTCAACGTCCACAGATCGAAGGTCGAACAATGATTCCTTCCCGCGGCCAGACTATATGTATATCAAGAAAGCTAGATAAAAAATTAATAGTTACCGATAAAATGTAACTAAATTAAGTTAAAAGTTAAGAGCCTAAAATTTAACTAAGTTAAAATTATTTAACTTTAATTAACTTTTATTTTTTTAACTAGCCACTACCCAATCTTGAGTTTATATATGTTTAAAAATAACTATAGATGAAGTTAACTGTTAACTTGTTCAAAATTAACTAAGTTAAAAGTTATTAACTATTTAACTTTATTATTTAATTTTTAACTTTTTAACAAGTTACTACCCAACCCTGGACGATATTATAGAGGTATAAGAATATTTCTTTCGATCAGCAGCTCTGTGAAATTGGCGGCACGCGCGCAGCGACACGAAGTTGTTGCGACCGACTAGAGTTACTATAGTAACTCTACGACCGACGCGTTCCGAGCGCCATCGTCACGTCGCGCGCGGAACTCGCAAGACGACACGCACTTCTCGACAGTTCTCGATTCAAATCCCGTCATTCCCGTCGAGACGCGAGGAGGTTTCGCAGAAACCGTTATTATGAGGCGTCGTTGATCATCGCTCGACGCCGTGGCTCGCCTCTCTCCCGCGCGAACAAGTTACAAGAGGAATCTCGCCGGGAAATGGCGGAGGACGAGGAAGCGGATTATCCGAACAACGCGCGTCTCTTCCGAATCGCCGTCTCCAACAGCCTGAGGAACATAGCCGAGTCTGTCAGGTGAGTGACGATAATCGTAGACGCGTGCGTCCGGCATTCTGTCGGTTTCGCGCGCAACTTCGCGCGCTCACTTAACCTCTTATCTGTCCGTTGTCATTCGCCCGTTTTTTACTTCTCGCGTTAAGAGCGGAATCGAGGCGAGCTCACGTCATCGTGACCACTTCTAATAGTCTCGCTAACTTTTTGTGACTCTACAAGAAAAAAAAGATGTAAAGAATTCATAAGATTTCTCCGTTGCTTCTTGATTTATTTATGGTCTTTTTTCTTAAATTCGGCCGAAGAAAGATCTCGTCTTTCCAATCTTTCAATGTCTGGCTTATACAGAAAAATCACTCGATCGCGTATTCGCCTACGCAATAACAGTACCGCTATCAGAAGTGTGTCAAGTGCGTCACGTGGTCGAAGAGATCTCTCACAGTCTCACAATCATGCATATATCTCCGTTCACGGTCTTCAGGATTTTTAATGGTTTTCCTAATATTTTTCTTTTTTAACGTATTAATAAAAAAATGGTTGCAGATTTCTGTGATGTGCTTCGTTATGTTACTATAGAATATAAATTCCAAAAGTTCTGAAAAAAAAAACATCCCTTGAATCTAATTCCATAAAGAATTCTCTGTGCATGATTTTTTAATCAGTGCACAAGGAGACATGCACGAACAAATATTTATAATTTTAGGTTCTTATTTTAGAAATATTTTGTATAACTGAAATTGTGTCGAAGATGCAAAAATCCATATTTTCATACATATCAGTAATACCTGAAAATCCACAATTATGTTTTGGATAAATAAATACAAAGATCTTCATATAAGATCACAGTCTTCTACGTGTAGCCTGGCAATCTGCGTCTTTTACGAGAGAAGCCGATTCCGTGATTTATTGATGTAGCCAGGCAGTCGGAAAGATCAAGATACATAATGTGTGCGTACGCCGTGGAAGGGATCGGCATCGTCAATGACCTAAACGTCACTCGGTGTTACTCGATGTCATTGGCCTCCGCGGTTCGCATGTTAATTCCCGAGTCGCCGTGGCCGCTCGCTCTCACGTGGCCGTCGTTGTACGTTTCGTTGGTCGAGTCCGCAGCCGCGATCGTCGTCGGTGCCCGCGATCTGCTGAATCGGCGATCCCTCTCGGCGATCGTTTTCCAGGAAGGCCCCCTTCGCCCGCGCGCGGATCCACCAGTTGACCTTCGAGGAATTCCACGAAGCGTTCGGGGAAACAAAGGCCTCTCCTGCCGCCGTGACCGGCGCGGGGGCGATGGTCATTCGTGTGCTGTGTGTCGCCCGGAGTCGTGCACGCCGCACGCACGAGCTGTGCGTGCTCCATACTGTACTGTCTCGCGGCGGAGGCAGTTGGTTCTTTCGTTACTCAAGCGCCGCAGATCGTCTTCGTGGTGGACGTTTTCGTTTTTTAACAACGCTAAACATTACGATATAATTGTAGGAAACGATTTCCTTTGTTTATGAAATTTAATTATTTTATATCGGCCGTTAATGTCATTCCGTGCGCGTGATTCGAGGGAAAATGCGAATGCGTCAGTTCAGTTGAACTTAGGTGAGCGAATGGTTCCTGCGACACTGGACTGTACCGGAGGGATTGGAAGCGTGCTTAGTTAGGTCTGGACTATTGCAAATATGTAGCATCGATTTCAAATTGCACCAGTCCCGGCCTGATTGAGCACGCGAGAAACAACGAGGCATTCGTTTACACGGTACGGTAGGTACGGTGTGTGAAGACCCCAGACCCCGGGTGAGTCTAATGTAGCGTGGCGTTTTATGTAGATAATATACACGGCGAATGTTACGCGCGTCGAAATAAACGTAACACGACAGCTGGCTTATTTTTTTTTTTTTTTTTACAAACGTCGGAAGCTGCGAGTGAGGAGATTGGATCTTACTATTGTATGCTTATTATAACACGGCAAGAAGTCGCGATTAGAACCATCCGGATTCCCGTCCTCTGTGATCGAGCGGCGTGCCGCTGCTCTTTGTCCGTGGCGTCGGGACAAAGAAAGAAAGAAAGAAAAAATTCGATCCCCGGCGATAAGTCGTCACGTACTCACTATGCATCGTGTACGGGGGAACGCGCGCATCCGGTCGTGCGTTGGAAAGCACGACGGAGTAAGAGAGAGCACGTGTCTTCTTTCTTATACGTGTACACACATCGTACATGCGTGTAAAAGCAATTGTATGCCGTCCGGATTGATAAGGCCGCCTTTCTGCGAAACAAGATAGAGCGAATAATTCGAATTGTCACGCAGCAGCGCGCTGTATTATATTTCCGGATGTCGTTAATCTTAGATAAGACCGTGTTTATTTCGAGACACGACGACTATTATTAGGCGTTTACCGCGCCACTTGATTCGGCACGGCGCGGGCGACACGGCGTACATTCATTCATATTTCGCGCTTAATAATAAACACGTTTTGCTACGCTTTTCGTTTCAGCGAGAATGAGTTCCTCGAGATACTCACGATTCTCAAGTCGAATCCGAGCACCGCCCGGAAGTTGCACAAGGCCATGATAAAGGAGCTGTACAGCAGCATGAACAACGATCTGGAGGATATATGGAAGGAGGGCAGTTTGCAGGAAGCCTTCACCAAAATCGCCAAATTGTCCGAGGAGAGCACGACGTCTGCTAACGAACGCGCATGGTCGGGTGATGGGATTCGTTGGAAAATTATTTTCGTGATTGCTCCGTGTAAATCTCTTACTTGAGAGTCATCGTCTGATTGCAGGCGTCCACCGGGGGATGTAACCTCGCATCTGAGATCGCTGGACGCGCACGAAATCAAAAAGGGGACCGAGGAATTGGAGAAACAGGTGAACGAGTTGGAAAGGGAGAACAAAGCCCTAATGAGGACAATCGCAGAAAGTAGATCGAGGATACGTGCCACGAACGACAACGTGATGAGAATTCTGAATTGCGCGCCGGCCATGCTGCAACGATTAGACGATACGTGCGAACAGCTGGCGACTTGTCTTAAAACGATCGAGAAGGAATAGCTCCGAAATGAATCTTGGAAGAATGCTGTATATAATGTATATATATATATTAGAAGGTATTTTTATTGAAAACAATTTTTATTAAAATACAATAATAAAAAAATTGAAACTAAAGTAAAGTAAAGCGAAAAGTACGTTTATTTATTATATATGTATACAGTGTATACATATATATGTGTCAAATTTATGTTTATACATTTATAATATTTTAAATATTTTTGTACATAATATGGAAATATTTTATATTTATACGAAAAACTGTATTGCATCGTATTTTATTAATGGCCATCGCTTTCATCTAATTCCCGACATCTCAAAATATTGTCCATTCGTTTTTTTATATCTGGTGAAAAGGAACAAGCGCTCTCGGATATCTCCTTCAATTTTCGAATTTGCGTCGCATACTCGTCCTACGAAACAACGAAAGATTTTTGTAACAATTGTAAGGATGCTTTCACGCGAATTGGGGCAACGTATTAGAGAGTCGAGTTAAAATTTACTTCTTGCTCCGCGATCATGGCCTTCACGCGGACGAGTTTCTTCGCGTTACTATCCGCTCTTCTTCTCATTTGCGCCAGGTCCTCCGACAGATTCGTCCTCAGCGTCGTCAGTTCGCTTATCTTCGCGCGGATCGTCTCGTTCGGATCTTCGTAACCGCCCGACCTCTCGACGCACGTATCGTAGTCTATACTTATATTCTTGAAACGCTCGTGAAGATCCTGCTCCTCCGATCGCACGTTGTTCAACACGAACCGCGCTTTCCGCTGCAGTTGCCTCACGTTGCAGATTTCCGTTTCTATGTTTTCGGATTCGTCGCGGTAGCCTTGCAACGTTGGCTTACAACGATCGATCTCCCTCTCAATTTGGCGGAGCTCGCTATTGAAATCGACGCTGTCGACGTTCATTGCGTCGATTTCGCTCGACGCTGCGTACAAACCATATCTCTATTTAATTTAAGTATTTTTTTTTATCAATGGACAAAATTCTCTTAAGCATTTACATTAAAATAAACTTAAGTTTTATAAAAAAAATTGAAGGAAGGTAACTGAAGAAATAGTAAAGTGAACAAAGCATTTTTCTTTATCAAAGAATAAAATTTTCTTAAGTATTTACATTGAAATACACTTAAGTTTTATAAAAAAAATATACTTGAAGGAAAGTAACTGAAGAAATAGTGAAGTGAACAAAGTATTTTCTTTATCAAAGAATAAAATTATCTTAAGCATTTAGATTGAAATACACTTAAGTTTTATAAAAAAAATATACTTGAAGGAAAGTAACTGAAGAAATAATGAAGTAAACAAAGTAACGAAGATGATTATTTAATATATATCTATTAATAAAATTTGTAACGCCGAAGCTTTTTATTTATGAAAGAAGAAAACAAGTGAGATAATTACCAGCCGCGTGTCGATTAACAAATTCCCCAAAATTCCAAATAAATTCATCATTATCCATCTCAACGTTAATTGTTAATTATTTGAATATAGATTCAAAGTTAGCTGACAATAATGGCGTTCGTAATGCTGAAAGGGTCAATCTTGCGGAAGATAGCGTAGCGTAACTCGTAATTCTATACCGTGCACTAACGCCCTCCTGCGTACCGCGGTCGAAGTGGAAAGCAGCAAGCTAAATGGACGGTAACGGAAAGGACGTGCAGCTACCGCGCATTCCGTGCTTCGATATAGTTTTTCGATGTCAGAAATCACATATATCGGGTATGATCAGTTGCAATTTACTTATCATTTTGATTATTTCGGAAATGTAAATTATAAATAATTGTACGTAAAAATTTTATATGGTTTATAAATCGCGCGTAAATAATTTCGACGTTTAGCTTGATCCATACGCGTCAAATAATCATCGCGCTGAAGTTCTCGTATCTCGATTGTTGCGATTCTTGAAACTTGAACCTCAGTACCGGAAAGCGTCGCGACGGATCGTGAAGTAGTCGTACGTTTCTATTGCTTGTCTATAGCTATTTCTCGTAATCACTATATAGTGGTTTGCTATTTGAAATGAAGTACACCGCGCGCGCGCGCGCGCGAAGACAATTAATTGCGAAGGACTCGTGAAGCATCGGATATTCGTCGTAACTCGTTGGACACCGCGCGGTCGCTGCGATATCGCAATCCCGAAATCGGCGATCTACTGACGACGCGAAAGAGTCCATTAATTGGAATCGTCCTTCATGCTCATTTTTTCGTGGCGCAGCCAAGAGAAACGGAGTACGCGCGATTATCGCCAGGTACGCACAAATATATCATGATTATTTTATTAAATTGCTTTTTTGATAATTCATTATCTTTTCAACCATTGATCTGTTGTTCCAAATAATTTCTGATATCCGCTATAAACGTTCTCGAGTTTATTCCGTCGAACGGCACGATTGTTAGTTTGAATTTCGCGCTTTCTACATTTGTTCCTCTTAATTTTTCTCCTGCAAGCATATTTAAACTCATCTCGCGTTACATCCAGGAAGGCGCAATCTAGAACGAAGGCCGAATTACACCGCGATTATTTCGCCGATAACGGGCGATAACGATGTACGATAACGAGTATAACGACGCCGGCCAACCGGGATTCAAACGCGGCCGAGCGACATGGCGTCCGCCGCGCCGGAGCGTTTCCCGCGTAAAACAGCGCCGCCCCGCGATTGGCCGCGCTCCGCCAATGGCCCGGCGTCGCGCGCACGGCGCCGCGAGATGGCGGCAGCGTACGAGTCCCAAGTGATCGCAACGCACCCGCGATTCGCCATTGCGACGTGATTGCCTACCGAAGTTTCGTTTCGCGTTCGTGCGTGAGAATTCGTCCCGGTGCGTCCCACGTCGGACTGCCCTGGCCCGCCGGCCTACGCAAGTGCCAAGTAAGTCGAGAGAATCGCCTCCTGTCGCGCGTGCGAACGCGCGCACCGATCGCCGCCGCCGGTTTCGAGGCAGGCAGAGCGGAATCGCGCGCGCCGTCGGGACGAGACGTCACGCGTCACGGAGGCGCGTCGCCGCGCGGAGGGACACGCTTCCGACTTCTTTTTTTCCTTTCCACGTGCGGGGAAGGGGGGGATTAAACCCGTAATTTTCGTGCCATCGTCGGCGGTCGACGTGTCCGCTCGATCTCGCGTCCCTCCGCTCGGCGCTCGCTCGCGGCTACATGAGCGTCGATCGCAAATCGCCGACGATCCGTGACGTCTCGATCTTCGCATTCCTTCTTTCTTTCCAACGTAACATTCCGAGCGCGTTTACGCGCCGCCGTAGTGCCAGGAGAGCGATACGCGGTCGGCTTTGGAGGTTATACGTCTGCGACAATGCGACGCGACGCGACGCGGCGCAGCGCGGCGCCGCGCCGCGCCGCGTGAGCGGTTGCACGCGACCGCGGAAGCTCCGACGGCCGAGTCGATACTTCGGGATCTTTTTACGCTTTCCTCGGGACGAGAGAAGTCTCGCCGTCGGGGATACCGATGCCCAAATGATATTTCAATGACTCCGAAGCGCGACGCGACGTCGTCGCGGGACGAATTTTGTCGTCGCGCTGCGGAATGCCGAATAAATAAATAAAATACCTCGGTCGATTTATTCCGCGGCCGAATGTAGCAACCCGATCCTCGCATCGCGAGACGTGTATTTCCCTTTCAATGACGAATATATTTCCGTATTCGGTGCAAACCGTCAAACCACTTTCACACGTATCACGTTAAACACGCGGCAGGTTTAGTACAGGGGTACGCCGTGTAATCCGTATATAGCGTAACGCATTGTTTATTCGCAACGAGAAGGAGAGCCTCGATATCTGCGGCGGCGTTATCTCGCGCGATAAGCGCTCCGGAATGACGTGCGCGACTAAACTACATACAGAACCCGAGAGAATATATTTCCTCGGGATCCGCATTGGAAAATCGTAATTTCTTCTTAATGTTGTATGTGTTCGTCCCATAATTTCTCGAGACGAAATGGAAAGAGTGAATCGAAATAGCGCGATGCGACACAGACGTGTATTTCCAACAATAAATAATTCGATGGAGAAATATTTTCTGTCGACAAATCCACACGTGATTTGTCCCCGTCCGTGGATTAATTCCGTGAGGATTTGTCTCTGCGCTAATGATTTTACCATTCGACGCGGACAAACGTAACGAATCCATTAGTCGGTGATTCAGTGCGGAATCTATAGCTTCTTAAAGATTTCCTCGTTTATAGGACGGAAAGTGTGACGTTATTTCTAGCATATTCAAACAGGGAAACATTCATGTTTCCGCGACAATAAATCGAACTCATGCATTTTATTTCTTATCAACATTCTCGTTAATCGGGTAACGATTCCGTAGAATGGATAAGGCCAGTCTCACCATCTCTGATTAACTTGATCAGTCAGATACATTTACAAATTACCAACTTGAAGCTGATTGTCTTATTTTCTGCAAATTATCATTTATTTATGTGAAATATAATGTTTTTTTTATTAATAGTCCAATAATACGTTTAATTAAAATAATTAAAAAATTAGGGTTAGGGATGAACAGTTTTTTAAGTTTTGCAATTGGCAATTAAAATGTAATCGATCGATCAAGTTGATCGGAGATGGTTTGACTAGTCCATAGTGCCTGTTTAAAATTCGACGAAAAATAGCATTCTTTTTTTTTGTCAAAAGTCGGTCTTACGATTTAATCTGCGCTTCTCAAATATAGACTGCAGGAAGTCGCGAAAGGTCGCGGCACTTTGTGTCGGAAAATTTTACGTTGTATCGAATAACATTTAGCACCCGTACTACTTTATATATATATATATATATATATATATTTTATGTATATCTGTACATATGTGTCACACGCCGGTTGATATTAGGATACGCGTCGACGGCTGAAATTCGCTGGGCAACAATTCTATTAATAGCTCGATGTGGAAAGACATTTTTACCTCGGCCGGCAATCGCTTGGCGAAGCGACGTGCGTTCTCGAGCGATATAACCTGAATTCCACGTTATCAACTATTTCGAGATATCAATTGTATTCGATAATTATGCCACATTAATTTGAACCGTCGACGACCGCTGGACTCTAGACTCGATCGAGTTGGGGTTCGCTCGCTCGCTCGGCCTCGTCTCGAATGTAAATTTATTACGCGTGTGAAATTTCAACGATCGATTCCGGAACGATCGGATATACGAAATCGTCGAGTTATCGAAGATGGATAATATAGATAAGTTATCTGTCGAAACTGGCTATTTTTTTTAATTAATTCATAAACCCATTGGACTTGTAGACACAGTTTATACATTCTCTCTGGGATGAGTTACACCAACTTACACCAACTTCGACGTCTTTCGCCGACCTCTCTTTCAACCGTCTCTATTCAAAATTCCACGATTGCGTAAAGTGAAGGATCTCGCGGGGGAACGGACTCGGGGTCCAGAGGGGACATGAACCTCTTGTTCGTCATAAGTATGTATGGGGGGGGGGGGTCGGTGAAGAAGAGAGGGGAAGAGGATGAAGAGATGGATAGTTTGGGCTAGGTCAAGCCGGAGTTGGTTTGGTCCCCGAGTGGCAATCGAGGGGATAAGGGTTTGAGGTGTAGCTCTGCCGTTTCATCCAATTTCTCGACGGTGAGAGGGGGGGGGGACAAAGGGGGAGGTGGACGGTCGGGTAGGCGATGGTTCGCCCGAACGGGGGTGGATTTCTCCCAGCCCGCTCGTTCACTCTCCCTCCCTCCTTCCGCCGCTCGACACAATGGCACAACAAAGCGTTACCAGGGTAACTGGCCGGCGGAGCGGTTGCCATCACAAAACTTTCCAACTTGTGATTGCAAACATTAGCGTCGCCGCGCCGGCACACGCGCGCTGCCGTGCGGATTCACACGCACGACACGCCGTTCTCACACGCCCGTCCGGCACGCGAGCGCGCGTGCCTGGGACACGCACTTTGTTGTTTCCACTAAGTGCCGGGTGGAAAACAACGACGACGACGGCGGTGGCGGCGCGGGCGGCTGCGGCGCCGCCGCCGCTGCCGTCGCGTCACGGGGGTGAAGGGGAGGACGGCGGCGATGGGTCGGTGCTTCTTTGTGAATCGTTATGGTTCAAGGTTTCTTTTTATTACCCGTTTTGTAGGTTGAATTTGTTTTCCCTCGCGGCGGGAGAGGAAGTGTCAGACCTGATAGCAGGTGCGCGGACAAAGCTAACGCTCTGTGTAAGAGCAGGCTAACGTCGAGGGGGGAGAGGGGGTTTACGTTATATATATTTTTTTCCATGCCGCTCGAAAGAGAATTGCGAGGGAAACACCGATCGCGCGGTGTATCGCACGGTTTGTCGGATCATATCGTCGCTCGAAAAACCTGCACGGTTTCAGGAACGCACGAAGGAACGCGCGTTATATAGAGATGTTTTTTGTTTAACTCTATCTGTAACGTAACACCGAGAGGACGGAGAAAGCGAGTTAACCGCGATTAGCATTGAACAACGTTGGAGCCGCAAGCCGAGTGTTGTTACTTCAAACACGCAGATACCCGCCGATTCTAGGTCTTGAGAAAACGCGCGCGGCCGGCGCGGAGTTACAGTTAGCCTTGATTACTTCGCAGTCTCTCTCTCCCGCGCGGGTTGGTCTCACGATTTATGCAAAGGGATCGACCGCAGCCGCAGCCGCTGGTCAACCTTGATTACACTTTTATCACTTAAAACAGGTCCGGCACTTTCAGCGCGTATAGCAGTCGGCGTAACACTGACATCGCGCGCGCGTAATAACACGTGGACGGCGGCGAATTGACCTAGTTGCGCGTAATTTTACAATCTAGCTTAGCGAGCTTGTGTTTTTACGCTAAACGGATCGTCGTCGTAGGACGACGTCATTCGCGGTCGGCGTCGATTATTTCCCACGCGCGACGTAATCGATACGGGAGGGAGGAGAAGGTGGTGATGGAGGAGGAGGAGGAGGAGGGAATTGGAAGGAAGGGAGAGGCAGGATGATGGATGTATTCGTATTATTTGCAATCGCAATTTGCAATGGAGCACTCGTGTCGGCCGAGGCCCTTAGGCGCTGCGGTATTTCGGTGCAGCCCTCCAGTATCTCGACGGTTGAACGGATATTAAATTGAATTAAAAGGGTGGGAAGGTGTATTCTCGGGTCTTACCGGCCCGATTATTTATTTAGCGGATGTAACTACTGCATACACAGACGCGCGCGCGCGGGACCGTCGTTGTCGGGTACATAGATTCGAGAGGCGAGGGAAGGAAACGTCTCGGGACATTTTAGCTTTTCGCGGAAAAAGAGCGAAAATTAATGGTTTATATTATTCGCTGCGAAAGACTCCGCGACTTCAATGAAACGACCGGTTGAGGGAGGAGGGGGGGGGGTAGTTCCGCTATCTCGCGCGCGATGGATGGCAAAACTCTTAATTAGATATCGGAAAAATAGAACTTCCCGCGCCCGCGCGTAGATTCGCGTCTCCCTCACTCCCTCGCGAGAGCGTGGAACGAGATATTTTGTTTCCGTAACTAGCGAACTCTTGTGTTTCGCCGAGCGATAAATTAACCATGTAATTCTCAACTTCTCCCCTCCCCCTCATCTTTTTTCACTTGATTACGTTCGATTTTCCTCTCTCTCTCTCTCTCCCTCTCTATCTATCTATCTATCTATCTATCTATCTTCCTCTTAAAATGGAGAATTATTTACTCGCTAATTGATTCAAATCCCAATGCGTCGCGGGACTTATTCGGAGTAACTGCGCGTATTTTACAGCAATCGCGTCTCCTCCCTCTTCGTAATACGATTCTTATTTACGATATTCGAGGTGTTAATAAGGCAATTGCGAGAAAATAAAGTGGCGGTAAAGTGCAGTAAAGCCAAGTCTGGTGACGGATTATATTTTATTTTCTCACTCTCGCTCG